TTGGAACATTCAGTGTATTTTCTGTTGCGCCTATTGGATAAACAATTGTGATATGAACTGAAAGGAGTGTGGATTTTTGTTTGGCAACAGTGGGTTGAATGTGTCTCAAAAATAATCTCTGAGGCTCCTAAACCAAGTTTGCTTTTTATAAAACTGGTATAAAATGCTGTTGGTCATTCAAGTCAATAGTAATAGATAATAATTTTATATTGATCTCAGCACCCCCAACTCTGCCTGACTTCCCGCGTCCCTTGTTACTGATAATATCTGATCAGTATCTCGCAGTGTGTGATCAAAACAGAGGGTTAAATGAAAAGGTAAGAGCTTGGATTAGAGATCTGCTTCCCCCCAGGAGTGAAAACCAGCTGTATGTGCAGAAGAAGTTAGAGATTAGTTCATTTGGGAAGAATCAACTAAAATCCTTTCAACCACTTGGTGCATTTCAAGGACATGAAGTGCACCGCTGGTCCAAACCAGCTGGTAGTTGAACTGATTTCAGATTGTGTATTTGACCCAATCCTGGATGAGGACATGGCAAACCTGGTGGGTTCAACATCTTGGCGGTGATGCTCTTCGTGTCGCCTCAGCCTTCAGAGAGGGATGAGGAGGGTGAGGTGTGGAGGTGAGGAGGAGGAAGAGATGGGGAAGACGGGTCGTGGAAAATGACGGAGCAAGTTTGGGAATATTGCAAGATGGGAGAGAGGTAGTGAGTGAGATAGAGCGTAGAGAAACACAGTGCATTCAAATGATGACGTCTGTGTATGGAGATGTCGATGACAAAGATGGATTTCACAGATTTCACAGAGACGCACCCCGAAAAACAGACAACAGAAGACATCAAGACCCTGGCACTGAAATTCTACATGGTAAGCTACATGGTAAATTCTGTAAAAACCGTTCTTAAATTAAAACAGATACCTCTTCTTCTTCTTCCTCTCCTTCTTCTTGAGCTTCTCCAAGTCCTTCTTGGCCATTGTGATGACATCGCTGGCCTCGTTCTCGGGGGCGAGCATGGCGGGGGAGAAGGAGCCCGCTCCACCAAACAGCGAGGAGCGAGTGGAGGCTCTGGACAGACTCTTCCTGAGGTTCTCGTTCACGGCCTCGCTTTCAAAAAGTTTAGCTCTGAGGGAGGTGAATATTATTATCAACAAGCATTTTCCGGTGCTATCAAACAACAACTACACCTGTAGACATTAATATGAAGAAATCAAGTTTCTATTGATGCTTAACATAAAAGATTAATTATAAATAATTATATAACAATGTTGGGATACATACCTGAGCTCCTCAATTTCTTTGATATAATTCTGAATCATGTTCCCGATTTCTTCATTACCTTCACCTACAAACAGAAGCATCAAAGTGATGTGAGGCTTTGTCCAATCAATCAATCAATAGAATATTTTTGTAGATAATACTGACTATACCCACATCTTTAATTATCTAATCACATCTAATCAGTCTTACAAAAAGGTACAAAAAGCACCATGGGCCACTATAGTGGTATAAATGGTAAAGTGCTTTTTGGATCTGCTGTGGCCCACCTGCTTTAGCCAGAGCCTGGTTGGCGTGGTCACTGAGGATCTGTGTGAGTCTGGCCCTCTGAGCGTCGATGGTCTCCTGCATGGCCTTCACCCTCACCCTCAGGTGGTTGTTTTCTGTCTGCAGCATCGAGTTCTCGTGGACCAGGTCGTTGATGCCCTCCATCCCATCTTCACCCACCATTCGTTTTCCCTGTGAACCACACAGGCCAGTTAAGATTATGTAATTTTTTTTTTCTTATTCCAGCTTCTGTTTGCATGCTCTTACCGTCTTGTACTCCATCAGCTCCATCTGCAGCCGGGCTATCTCAGTCCTCAGAGCGCTGATCTGCTGGCTGGCTCGGTCCTGGTTCACCATCACCTTGTTCTTGATGTTCCGTGCCCGGTTGGCGTACTTCAGGGTGTTCAACGTTTCCATGAAGTCCCGGTCAGACGGGCTGATACAGGCGATCATCACAGTTTGACTGGAGAATACAGAGATGATCAGTCCCAGTGGTTCATTATTCATTTGTATGTATGAATAAAAGAAGTAAAGAGGTTTACACAGCACTTTTTCTATACTCAAATTTGAATTCCTAATTTAATATATCTGTACCATAATAAGCCATTAACAGATTGCTCTGTTAATAATGTAAGTATGTAACATTTCTACTCCATTTTCCATATATATTGTCAGAAAAACAAACGTGTGTCTTTTACTGTTGTTTATGCAAAATTGTATGAGGAGTAATTTGGCATCTACTTGTTCTAATCTATTTAAAATCTAAATCTTCTTTCTGCCCATCTCTCTTCTCTATGGTCTGACAGTATTTTATATATTCTTGTAATATTCACAGACCTGTTTCCACCAAGTGAGTCCTGTAGCAGCCGTGTCAGTTTGGAGTCTCTGTAAGGCACATGAGTGGAGCGTTTACTCCTGTCTCCCAGAGCGCTGATGACGTTTCCCAGGGCGAGCTGGGGTCACAGAGGACAGAAACACAGAGGAAGGAGCATTAGATAACTTTTTTCAAAATGGCAGGACTGCAATGGGAAGGTTGTTGATTAGAACGTCAAGACTGGAGATTAGAAAATAAACAAAGCTTGAGTTTGATAGAAATGAAGAGTGCAATTCATATTTTGGCCACCTGGGGGCTCTAATGCTCCAGAAAAAAGATTACCACGTTAGTGACATTGATAGTGCAATTTAATAATGACATTATTATCCCAGTAAGGGAAAACTTTCTGATAGATAATGCATCAATGCTACACAAATTCTCATTTCAGACCCAGACTCTCTCTCAGCCTCCTCACCAGCCCACAGTTGATGGAGATGCCCTCTTTGGCTCGGTCTCCTGTGGCTCCGGTTCTCTTCAGTCTCTCTGAGCCAGCCAGGTCCACAAAGTGGAATTTGGCCGTCAGTGTCTCAAATTCATTGATCTCTGAGTTGTTAGCTAGACGATTGTCTGTCACGTTATCCTGGAAGAGAAATAACACAATAACTATATGTACGTATGTTGCTTATTGAGCTAGAGCTGTAATTTAAATTGGTACATCTGGTGCTCCTTGTTAGACGATGCCCTCTGCTTTGTTTTCGAGGACTTACGTCATTATCTGGAGAGCAGACTCGGACTTGGCAGAGGTGGATGGTGAAGATGGCGTGCGAGCGTGAACTCTGGACGTTCATCTGGGTGCTGGCAGTGGTGCGAGACAGAGCGCCCAGCTTAAGACACTGAATCATCTGTCCGATGAGAATGGGAGGGGAGAAATTATGATGATTTTGCTTCTTCAGCAGAAACGTACAGATTGAGTCATGTGGATTATCTGAATAGATCCTTTAATATTATGGAGATTGTTCATATCTGAATAAAGAACTAAATTACTTCTCAGTGCTGTAAACAGAACTAATTAGATTGAATTCACTGGAACAATATTAGGTCGGAGTCAGAAAACGTATTTAATTTATAATTTAATATATAATGCCATGGCTTAATAAATATAGAACAAATAAATTCTGGACAAATATGGTATTAGTGCAATATTAATCTGCTGCAGGGACGCAGTGTGGTATTAAAGCTGACCTCAGCTGCAGAGGTCACGGTGCGGGTCGTGACCCCAACGGTGTAGATGCCTCCGTTGGCGTCCTCGTGGATTTTGATATTGGACCTCTGCTTCCGCGCCTCGATGTCTCGAGTGGAGTCAAACAAGTCCAGCACCTCTTCATTGTAAAGCTAGAGAAAAAAAAAACAGGAGGCGGACAATCGATAGTAAACACAGGGTGCTGCAGGGAAACTCAATAACTGATACGTCATCAATACTGTCATTGGTCTGTCATACACTGTCATCACTTCCCGGCCTCGTTTTCTTCTCCCTCAGCTGCTTCCTCACCAGCTGCTTACAGCCACAGTTAAAAATAAAGACGGGACCTGGATCCGCAGACACAGACTAATGACAGTTTAATGGCTGCAGGGTCACTTTAACGACCTGAACCCTTCACCCTCCACTGACCTTTGACCTCTTACTGTCTGCATGTTCTGGATCCATTGAATTAATGGAGCTTAAGCGTACTGGATATTTACATTTAGACTGATGAATGCACCTTTCTTAAATCTCATGAGATAAACAGACTTTCCACTTTTTTGTTTTTTTATTTTCTGCACCTCCAGGAACTGTGCGTTGATCTTGAACTCGGGCACCGGCTTGCCCTGCTCGGTGGCAGCCTGTCTGCGCGCCTCGATCCCCCTGAACAGGTGGTTGACGGCCCGGGGAATGATACCCAGCTCGTCCTCGCCGATGTTGACGTCGAAGCCAGTTCCCATGGTGTAGGTCTTCCCTGAACCTGTCTGGACGCAGGGAGGAAGACAGAGAGACATGTGTAACTTCACCCAATGGGAATAAAGTGTATTCCTGCACTTATCATGTGTGTTTCTGGTGACCTTTCATCTGTGTGTCTGTGTATTTAATGTATCTATGTTGTGTTTCTGCACTAAAGTGTACGAGTTAGGTCCTCCTGGCAAAAAGGAAGTATGGCATCTAAAGGAAGGGGTAGGGGTGCAGCTGTGAGTAGTTTAGGGTGGTCAGAGGGGACCAGTTTGTTACCATGGTGTGGTCGCCATGGTAACAAAAAGAGGAATGCAACATTGAACTCGGATCCACACATCTCTCTGTTCCTCCCCGCAGAAACGCCTGAAAGACACCCCGGCAGGAGTGTGTGTGTGTGTGTGTGTGTGTGTGTGTGTGTGTGTGTGTGTGTGTGTGT